AGATAATCAAATATATGAGCATTTAAAATTTTTGGGAGTTAAATGACTATCTTGATATCGAGTTAGTACCAGATGAAGTGAAACACAAGGGTTTGAAAACTGGTATTTAAATACCAATAAATATGAGTTTACTATGTTGACTTCATTTACTCTCAATCCTTAAACTAGAAATATCTCAAGTATTAGATTTACTTTTTAAAAACTTTCAAAAAATGTCAAATAGGAGATTTAATTAAAAAAAGTGATTTGTACTTTAATTTTATTTATGGTCCCAATGAAATATATATATAATTAAAAGAATATCAAACACTTAAAATCTCATAGGTAATAATTTTTATTTCATGAGAGCTCCAAAAACAGCAGCTCTCAATCTTCAAGACCTACAAATAAATCACAAATGAAATGGAAAAAAATGTTCCAGGTTAAAAACAAGAGATATTGCTATCTTCTTTAGAGAGTGGGAAAAAGCAGAGAGTGTTGACCTATTTTGAAATGTGATGTCTTTAACTAAACTCATAAAATTAATAAATATACACTAGGAGATTAACTGCGATCTAACTTTACGTTAGGTTAAAGTACATTCATATCCTACTAAATCTTAATAAATATATCTAGGACATAAAAGTTCAGGACTCTAGGTATTTAATGTTTACAAATATGTTTCTCTGAATATAATTAATAATCATTTAATTAAAATCTCTTAGGTTTTTAACTTAAATTTCTTGGTTGATTATACAAAAAGCTTATATTAATTTACATTTAATTTTTTAAAAATTTTTCCACTGATTTTGAAAAACCTTTTAAAAATGTTCTGGACCAGATACTTTTTTTAATATTATTTATAGAATTTGTTGAATGAAATACAGAGGATTAACCCTGATTTAACTTTTCCTTAATCTAAAGTACATTTCATATCCTGCGAAATATTAATCATTTAATTCAAATTTCTTAAGTATTTTAATTTAAATTTCTTGGTTAATTATATAAAAAGCTTATGAAAATTTTTTCGCTAATTTTGAAATCTTTAAAAATGTTCACTTTTAATACTATTTACAAATAATTTGTTGAATGAAATTTGGCCATTGACAGAAACAGATGAGATTGTTTCAGATTCACAATGAACTAACTATACTTTAAACCATTCCACCATCCTCAAATGACATACTGAGGTGAGTATGTCAAAATAGGTTAACACTCTCTGTCTTTTCCCACTCTCTAAAGAAGATAGCAATATCTCACATTTTTAATCCAAAATATTTTTTTCCCATTTCATTTGTGATTTATTTGTAGGTCTTGAAAATTGAAAGCTGAAGATAGTAGCAGTTGTTGATAGCAGAAATGTCAGCTAAAATTTTTAATATTATGCAATACTCAGATATTTAAGCCCCCATATCAAAACTCCAAGCAAAAAGGAGAGATAGAGAGGGGTAAGAAGTAAGAAGAAGAGGGAGAAGAAAGGAATGAAAAAGAGGTTACAGAATAAGATAGGCTACTATCTTGTTCTGTAACCTCTTTCTTTCTTCTCCTCATTTCACCCTATTTCCTCTTAAGTTGTATCTACCTATAGTTTTTTTAAGGAAGTGACATGCCATAGGCAGCTTGTTTTTGAATAGAATTGTCCATAACCATTTTTGGTTCTCACCAGCCAAGATAAACATAATGCATTGAAACAAGAATGCATCTTTGAAGTCAGTAATTGTTTTTGTCCACATGTAAAAATCTATAATATATATATATATATATATATATATATATATATATATATATATATAATAGACCTGTTTTGAAGCTGAGGTAGTTGTGGGTTTTCCAACAATAGTAGTGTTTAATGTTTGAACCAAGGTAAAAGTAAAAAATTTAAATGCTGATTTTTAAGGTTCATTTAGCAACACAATCTTTCTATTCTCATTTCCTTTTAAATTTGACCTTACATCAGGACTGAAATCTGTAAATATCTACATAATAATCTATTTGTTTTCAATTAATTTTTATTACAATCATTTCTATTTTCTTTCTGATCATAAATGTAACCATAAATATCAAATGGTATTGTTTTTCACTTTCTATGGAAGTCCAGTGGAGAAATAAATCTAATTTTTACAAATTATAAGAGGTGGTTTTAAATATGTTCAAGTATTAAACAACTGCTTCAAATGACCAACCAATGTAGTATATAATTCATGCCAAGAAACAGCATATAGTCTGAATCAAATTTAATGTCAATAAGGAACCTAAGAGAAGTTGATCTGCAGTGATCCCAATATGTAACAGGATCTCTCTAAGAGATACTAAAATAGACTTTCAACTCAGTGTCATCAGAGAAAGTCAGATGCATGACAGGGCTGACCTGAAAGGTATCTTCACAGCCATCATATACAGATTCACATTTCACAGGATGCTCTCAACAGATAAAATGGTAATCAACTGTGCATGAGATATGTACATATAGAACAACCAGATAACAGGAAGTTATATAACTTCCCCATCCAAGAGGGAAAAGAGAGTCTTTGCACTCCTAATGAGAAGGAGAATCCATATTTGGAGAAAGTCCACAAAGCCACACACACCCACATGATAATATTAATTGATGAAGTTCAGAAGTGAATGAACAGTAATTTTACACTATTTATATTTGGACTACTGTTGTCATTTTTGTTGCTTTTATCACAATGTTTTGAATGTTGCACCTCCCAGTCTTCTTCAGTTGCATATCAGTCTGAGTAACCTACAGATGACTCAATGTTACACCAAGCTACCACACATATATGGTCTCCCCAAGATTTACAAAGTTGTTATTCCACTGAGACCATCTGCAGGGACTCAGTATGCCACTTGCTGAGCAGATTATTAGTAGATATAGCCAAACCACTAACAGGAAAGTCTTCATCCTATGTTAGAAACTCAGAACACTTAGTGAAACTGATCCATTCATAACAATCAGATGGTAAGTGGTAAGCCACCATATACAGATTCACATTTCACATTTCACAGGATGTCAGTGGCTGTCAGAGTTCTTACAGATGAGGTCCTGATAGTGGTTTGGAATTGACTGGAATCAGACCCCTCCCTAGAAGAACATACTAACATTCCAAAAGATAATCTGATGGAAATGTTGACATTCTCCCAACTAGAGTCTGACATATACCAACAGGAGTATGGCTTTTCTATGGGTTCACCATTGTCACCAGTGATGGTAAACATATACATGGAATACTTTGAGGAAATGACTTTAGAAACAGCACCACTAAAGCCAACAGTATGATTGAGATACATGGATGACACCTTCATACTCTGGCCAAACCAGGAAGCTGTACAAATACTGCTAGAACATTTGAACTCAATAAGACCTTTGATCCAATTCACAATGGAAGAAGAAAATAATAATCAGCTAGCCTTCCTGGACATACTAATAACTTACAAAGAGAATGAGTTCAAAACATCTATATATATCACAAGCCAGCTTTCACTGAACAATGCCTCAATTTTGATTCTCACCATCTGTACAGTGTAAAGAAAGGAATCATTTGATACCTACGAAATTGGACAAAAATTATAAGCGACAACCCAGACACATTCCAACAAGAAATTATCAGCATCAAGCATACCCTTTAGAATAACAACAACCCACCAAATATGACATCATCATTAGCAGGTGGGAGCTGAATGGACAAGGAGAAGGACCAGAAAAATGCTTGTGTCTACCTTGTCAAGGGCTCATCAGAAAAATTTAAAAGATTAGTGGTCCATATAATATCAGGACAATATTCAGAAGTAGTTTCACTCTACAGAGAAATCTCTGCCATGTAAAGCCTAACATGGTAGAGAATATGACTAAGAATTGCATGTACTCAATTCCTTGCAGTTGCGACAGAGAATATAAAGGTGAAACAAGTTACCCCTAAAAGTAAGGGTGGAGCAACATCAAAAAGACACAGCAAGTGCTGAAACGATGAAATCAGGCATGGCTGATCATGTATGGAGGGAAAGGGGTGGTCATTAGCCCCTGTGGAATGAAGTGAAAATACTGGATAGGAGAGTTATACATCTAAAAGAATTATTGCACATGCTAGGCTATGAGGACCTCCTTAGTATACCTAGCATAGAAATAAATACAATATGGGAGCCACTAATTAAGAAAGAAAGACAAATGACAGCAATTCTTCAACCGCAGCATCAGCAATAAGAAGCATGGGCAGCAGCAGCAAAACATGACAGGTAGCAGCAGCAGTAGTGGCAGCCAAATCAGCAGTGAAGGTCAGGTTTAAAGCTTTAAATTTACTCCAGCAATTGTTCTATGGGGTAGTGGGTAAAAGTGTTGGTGTGTGAATTTGACAACATAATGGTTGTGAGTTCAATCGCTGGGTTGGGCAGTGTGATTTGCACTCTGTGGAAATGGGAAAACAATAACCAAACAATACTAAATAAAATTAGAATTATACAATATCCCTAGACATGGGCAGTGGAGTGAGAACAGTCTACTCCTGTAGATTAAATAAAAGGTTCAGTCCAGAATTCCTTGTAAGGTACCCAGATTGATAGAGGATGGCCAGAGTGCACAACAGCCAAAAACATTATAATAAAAATAACAAAAATGAGGACAATAGTTTGAATATAAATAGTATAATTAAATGATAACACCTCATCTCTAAAACTCAGACAAAAATAATATTACATATGAGAGATTTAGTTTTGTGTTCTTATTAGTTGTACTTATAAGAGTTAACAGACTGAATTTAAGTTATCTTGATATTTCTTGGGATTTTCAAATTTCCAATCATCTGAGAAATTCATAATCTATAATCTTGACCACTCATATTTGCATTTTCCTTGAACAAGTCAACTGTAAAATGTCTTAAATTTCATACTTTATCTGTCTGTTACACTTATCCTATTTTTTTTGTAAATATTTGATTGTCATTCTGCAAGGTAGGAAGATTTAATTAAGTTCTAAAACATAACAAAAAGTACCCCCCCCAATAAAGAGACAATATTAGAATTACCTTTTGTTGTTTCCCAAGGAACTGCATTATCTCAGCATTTACTCTGGTTTCTACATCAACATGTTTCTCCAAAGACTAAAAAAGAAAAATAAATCTTAAAAAAGTATAAATGGGCAAAAAATAAATAAATAAAATTTAAAAAAAAAAAATTTTTTATTTAAAATATTTTCACTAATAATATTTTTTTCATTAGTTTTACTTTACCTTACTATTGTTGCTTTTTATCTCAGGATAATGGGTCACTTTTCAGCTGATTGAGTAAACAAAAACTTAGAAGTAAAGAAGGAGCAATCAACAGATATATTACTTCTGATTTCACATTGTTTGCTCTTGCCATTTAATTTTGATAACAAGCAACAATAATAAGATGGCGAAAACTAGTAATAAAATAATAATAGTAAAAATGCTTAATCTAACAAATTTCAAAACATCAGCTTAGAAAAAATATAAAGTTTAATTTTTTTTAAATCATATTTATCAAAATGTCTAGGCAAAATAAAAACTAATCCAATGTGAGTTAATTTAATGACAATTTGAAAAATTTCCCAAATATGTGTGCATGTGTGTGTGTGTGTGTGTATGTGTGTTTGTTTCTTAGTTATTGTAGATTTTAAATAAAAAAATATTGACTACTGAAAAAATAGAAATATATTAATCTTTTTGTTTAATTACCAAGATTCAAAAACCAAACTGTAGTGAAGTAAGCAATGTAGACTTTCTAAAACCTCCATTATATGAATATTAAAAGAAAGAAAAAGAAGATGCAACTGAAATTAAAATATTCAAGTCTTAAATTGTTCAAAATAACTTACAGCTTTCTGCCAATTGAACTGAATAAATTGAGAAAAAAATCTTTCTAACAATGTTGGTGGGATACAAGAAAATGGTTAATAATGATGGTTTAGCATAAATACATTATTTTATATGAAAAATATTGATTTTGTAGTAAAATTGAAGTTTCTTGTAAGAAATAACAGAGAAAAGATTCAAATCTGTATTAAATTCAATTCTATTAAACACATTGCTATAATATAAAAGTATAATCAAATCAAAAAGCATGAAAAACATTAGCAACGGAATATATGATGACAGAATCAGTTGACATATGAAGTCTAAGTGTTGTCTACTACATATTGAGATTTTTTTTTTAAGCATTTCACCCCAAGCAAGGCAGGAAGCTACTAGCATGAAAGGGGTTACAGAGAGTTGGGGTGAGAGCAAAGAGGAGTGATAGATGAAAGGATGAAGAGAAGGATAGGGGATAGATCAGGGCATCTGGAGATGTCGATTGACATTACAAATGCAAGTTTTTAATGTAAGTACAGTATTTCTTACTGATAGAAGATAGATATATTCAGAATATATTCTTATGGAGGCTTAAAGGAAAAATAAATTAAAAGATTGTTAATAATTACATAATACTCATTTCTCTGTTTATTCATCTAATTAAGTCAAGTGTTTTCATATAAGTTAACATACAGCATGGTGACAACACATTACAGGTAAGAACACATTACTTACAAAATTACATACCAATATAAAACTGGTGACAATGCATGACAGGAAATGACATATCACTTAGAAGTTTACATACCAACAAATTCAAATTTATAATAATTTCTTATATTCAATGTGGACACTTGGTTCACCAAATGCTAAATTCTAACTCAATTTGATATAACATGTCAGCTTCATGGTATTTACAGGAGCACATCTATGATATATAAATTGGAAATATTAATCTACTAATTATAGGTAGTTAATAGGTGAAAGACATTTCCAACTCCACCTCCCCACTAAGCTTATTAAAACCATTTTATTTCACGAGAGTAAAAAGTGTAGGTATCAATAAGGACCAGCCTTCTTTGGATTGGCATAACAGAATCATAATGAACTGTACCAAATAACAGAAACCACATTATTTGATCATTTTCAACAACAGCAACAACTAAATTGATTGATTGATACGTTCATTCATTTTTCTGCAGCCTATCAATCCCTTGCAGGTTATTTAAAGCCAGAAAAAGGTTTTAGATTGCAATAATTTCATTTTTGGAGATAATAATGATTTAGTGATACAGGCTTTACTAATTAACCTGCAGGAGAATAGGTAGATTCATACAATTCCCGAGAGTATTTGAACATAAGTAATAAGTAAATATAATGAACACAATAGGAAATTGAAACTCGGCTCTCTGATTAACAATTCTGAGCCACTATCCATTACACCGCCTTCACATCCAACCTTACACCACCTTCACATCCAACCTTAAAACACCTTCACATCCAACCTTACAACACCTGATATTCCTAAGTGGTCAACCATCTAGGTACTGACTAAGCTCAACATTGCTTAACTGTAGTTATTGTAACAGATGTTTCAACGTGATATGGCCATAAGCCTAAATAAAATATATAATTCAAAGAGAGAACAATGATGTAATCAAGATGCTGACATTCCATACTACCTCAAACATAAGGCAAGGAAGGAAGCCTCCATCAATACTGGAAACAGCTTCTGGTCTTGAGAAATCTATTTTTCTGAAAAATTGTTTTAATAGAAAGTTGTTATAAATTTCAACCAGAAGTAACACTGGCTGTTCAAGTAATGAATACTGAATATGTCATAAGTAAATGGCTAATATTGTCATTTATTAATTCATATTTCTTGATGAAAAAAATGATCCTAATTTTAAAGAAAATTACCAAAAGATAGTCATTTACATCTATTTGAAATTTTCCTCTTCTTACATGTTCAATGCTGAAGATCATTAATTCTTCTTCTATGTAGCATGTCCCTTCAGGACATTGTGAATCATGGCTCTCCACAATTTGTTGTCTTTTGCAGCTCTTAATAAATTTTGTTATGTTTAAAACTTCAGGCCAGGCAGAAAAAGTGTCAACCAGTATTAGACACAGTTTTTGTGTAGTGGTTATCCCACAAGGCACATCATCATGTACACTTTTAATTACTTCTTTTCTACATTTTTCCAGTGGTATGACTATATCCTCACTACAAATTAGACCATTTTCTATTGATAGTTTGTGTCTAGTTTCTTTGTATGGTCTTTCTGCTTTTGAACAATTACTCCATTTATTGTTCTTTATTCTAGATATAATTTGACTTAAGACTGGATCTTGTAATGTCTCCATAATTAGTCTATTCATGGGCAACACATCTGTTTCCACCCAATGCAAAAATTCATCCTCAACTTTTTTTATGTTTTTTTTGTTTTGTTCCTTTTGTTATAGACATGAGTATGGTTGCAAGAAAGAAATACGACAACAGCAGAAATAGATTTACGTGATTTATTTCAATAGGAACGTGTGGGTTTGGGACAGCTACCTTGTGGTATAGTTCATAAGCCGGCTGCCGATCTGGGTTGATCTCTCATAGTAGTTCTCACTAGTTGGTGTGGCACTCCTCCTGATGACTGCCCAGACTGACCATGACAGATCTCTTCCCTGGCCTCCTGTTGACTGCTAGTACTTCCCTGTGTGACCCCTTTTATGGCGTTTTTATGGCTTAACAGGCTCAAAAAACAATGCGAGTATAATTAGGAAGGAAGCATTTTTATTGGTTGAAAAATAGAAACACTTTAAAATATTATTTTATTTTTCTTTCCGAACTCGTGCGTCCGGGCCTATGCGTAAACGAAGATAATGGTCATTTTGTTGTGGGGGCCTTGTCCTGTTTCCATCGGCTCTCCTCTTGAGTATGTTAGTTTATTTGCCTGCAAATCAGCCGAGATATGTCTTATTTTATTTTATAACACTTTCCAAATTGTAGTTGGGACAATGTGTCTACATGTTGTATCATGTTTGGTATCATGTAGTATCATGTGTGATACCACATATTCTATATCATAATCAAAAGCCATTAACTTCATAGCCCATCTTAATATTCAGGCTGATGTAACTTTCAGCAATTCTTTCCTAGGATGGAATATAAATTCTAAGAGCTTATGATCAGATCTCAACAAAACTTTTTCCTAATAAAAATTGTCTTGTTCTAGTCATAAACTCCATACAATCACAAGTGCCTCCTTTTCAATATTAGAGTAGTTCAATTCAGTTGGTGTTAATATCCTGGAAAGATACATCACTGGGTGTTCTTCCTGAGACAAAATTGCTGATACAGACTGGTCACTCACATCTGTGGTTAATGTAATGTCCTTTTTAGGGTAAAAAATCTTGACCACATTTTTATCATTGTTCTTTTTATTGCATGTGTCCATAAGCTCAGGTTGGTTTTCATTTGTATTAAATTTTTTAAGTAACTCCTCTTGTTCTATGAAGTCAATACAAGCTTCTGAATTCTGATTTGTCTGTAACCGCTCTAAAATTTTTACCCCATGAGAGGTGTTGTACAGTCCTTCTATGATTCAGAGTTGAATTAATTCTTCCTTCTGTGCTTATTCCTTGTTGTCCTAGTTCATGAAATTCACAATATCTGCTGGTATCTCTTAACCTTCTTAGATATTTCCTTATTGGCTCCTCAAATTCTGTCTCAATGCTAAGAATTTGATTCAACTGCCTATGTCTTTTCTTTGGTTGAATATTTCTCAATATTATTTCTTTGACTTAAATGTCAAAATTTCAATTTCCATTGGGGTTAAGTCATTAATGAAATCTGCCTAATGGCTTCACATCTTGCAATGGTCAAAAGTAAATCCATGATTTCTTTCTGTCCTCCAGGTGTTTGGTCATCTCATAAATTCTTTATTCTGGCATGTGCCTCAAAGCATTTTATCCAAATTTTTGTTTTTTCAGGTTATTCTGTGTTCAACAGAGCTCCATCAGGTGACACTATTTTATTATGATGATCAAACTTAGTAGCTGTAGATATTCTATTTACACTGACTCAACGTTGCCTGTGAGCTTTAGTTATAGCTCTCTTTATGCTATTTACCTATCAGCTAAACCAATCCCATTACAGTGCAAAACAATATTAATTACCTAACATCTCCCTTTTTGAAATTTGTGCTTTGTCCTCATTTTATCCACCATACACTACTGTGACTAATACCTTCTTTTCAGTGGTTCTGTTTAATTTCTGGAAAATCTCCAGTGTT